CTGTTGAATCAGGTAAGCACGTAACGTATCTCTGGAACCTTTCTTTTTTTTGTTTTGGAGAATCTCTGAACAAATGAGATTGAATCCTCCGCTTGAACATGGAAAGATACATTGCCATAAGAAGAGAGCGTAGGGCCGATTGAATCCTCCGTGTGTGTCGTGCAGCGAGCCCGTTGGTGAACACTACCGTTGAGGTTCTGACAGGTTGGACGCGCCGCGCTTCGCTCGTGCAGAGAGATTCTGATTTTCTTCCTTACGTTTTTTCCTTTTTATTAAAAACAAAAAAAACTCCAGGAAAAACGGCTGTCAGTTCCGTCGTTTTCTACTTCAGAAGTAATAAGAAGAGAACATTTTGAGAGATCGCGACCGTCATCATGACTGAATCTGGCCTGCAACACTGCAAGAACCCTACCGTGCACACAGACTGTTACGCGGACTACAGGTTACTACAAGCTTTCAGGCCAACGCGCGGCTTCCAAAAAAAATTTGGCTGCCCGTTTCGTATTTTACGCGAGCAGGGTGCCGGGTCTACGACCGCCCCTCACAACTTTTTTTTTTTTTTCGACCCCCCTTTTTGGAGGTGCGCCGCATGCAGTGCACGCGCGTCGTGCAGGATGCGCGGTGCGGCGCACGTGTGCAGTACATCGCATCGCGATGCACCGCATGTATGGTATATATATATATGAATTCCTTGCTGCAACGGTGCGTGCACACGCACACACACACACACACACAGATAAAAAAAAAAAAAGAACCGGCATGTAAGCTGGTGCACAAGGGAGCGAGAGTGAGACAGGGAGAAAGGTACTAGGAGAGCCACAGACACACACACACACATACACACAGAGAGAGAGAGAGAGAGAGAGAGAGAGAGAGAGAGAGAGAGAGAGAGAGAGAGAGAGAGAGTTGATGCCACGTGGCAGCTCTCTGTCTCTCTCTCTCTATGTATATATATATGAATTCCTTGCTGCAACGGTGCGTGCACACACACACACACACACACAGACACAGAGAGAGAGAGAGAGAGAGAGAGACGGTGCTGTTGCTTATTGCCCCCTGTTTTGTTGTATTTGGCTGTTCCCTTCCTCCTCTTTTCATTGCCTCTTTGCCCTTTGGCTGTGTGCAAGTGGGTCGATATGACACACGGGGGTGGGGGCAGCCACCGTCAACCTACATCCACGTGGGCGGCCTTGTACGCAAAAGGTTCTGAACAGGGGGAGAAAGGAAGAAGATAAAAAAAAATGAATTCCATTTTTCTATTTTTCTTTCTTTCTTTTTCCTTTTTTTCGCTTTTGCGATCTGAAATTCTTGTGACAATATATATGATGCTTAACGTATCGCTTGACTATGCACACGTTTTTTAAATCAAAGGGAAAGCAGAGGGAATAAAAGAACTCCATCAGAAATGACTTGTGATGATTGGATGATGACGTGGATACAGGCGCTTTGAGTGCATTTGCACCAGCCACCAGCATGTGGAGTCGGGAGTTGCCTGCTTCTTTCTGCATCTGGCATATTTATCTTAAATGATAGTGGGTGGAGGAGATCAATCAACAACCCAGGCCTCTGCTCTGCTGTGGCAGGTGTGATGCGGGTGTGCACTTTGTTCAGGGCATTCAGTATTTTATATTGTTGCCCAGGAGGAGGCTGCTGCCTGTGTCCCGACATTGGGATTGAGGCTCTTGTCGATTTCCCGGGCCGCCGCCTCCTTGTGCAAGACTAAGTCTCTGCTGTTATCCCTCTGCGTGATTGCAGAAGATAGATGATGGCTTCGTCTGTGCACGCAGAGCACGCTGGCATCTTGTGGCCGTCATGTGGTCCACGCCAGCTTGACTACTTGCCATGTCAGCGTGACCATTTGCCAGGTCAGCGTGACAATGTCACTCGTCCGCATTGCGAGTATCGGATGCCAGTGGTAATTCGAGGGCATGCCAGGTTGATTGCCTCCGCTGCCGATGATTGCCAGTGCCCATGCAGCAGAAGAAGAAAGGCTAGACTTGGCGTGCTTCTGTCTCCATCTGACACGCCGCCACGTGTATCAATTCCAACGAGAACTGTGGCTCCGATGACATGTACCTCCCTGAAATGGCAGCAGACCTGTGTCACCAAGTCTCGTTTCCTAAAATGGCAACTCAAGGACGGCTTTGAACGCTTTCTGCCTCGCGGCAACGACAGCAGCGCATTTCAAGCCGGCGGTCTTGCGACGAGCAATAGTGGTTGCGGGCGGCTCCTCTGGTCATTGTGCTGGATGAAGAAGAGCGGGTGGAGGAGGAGGGGGAGGAGATGTTCTCCGCTCATCACCGGGCCTCCATCTCTTGTCAAAAGTAGCTCTTTTCATACTACCAGTAGTCGTACAGGGCATAGAAGAGTGATGGTGGCACACGATCATGGTGATGACGATGGGGYTGATGCTGGTGTTATTTATGGGCCCGTGCGTGCCAGGTCTTGCGTCCCAGCAGCAGCAGCAGCCGCTRGGCCTGCCGGTATTTTCTCCTCATCTGCGAGATACGTCTCCCTGGCTGCTCCTGCTGCCAGCTCAGTAGCAGCAGCGACAGCAGGAGAAGGAGCGGCAGAAGTAGCTCGAGAAGTAGCAGGCGTAGTAGCAGGAGAAGGAGCAACATTGCGAACATCAATGGTAGGGCATCTGGGTGGAGAAGATGAGGAAGAGACGTCGGAGTCTGTATCCCGAGGGAGCATGCGTGAGTTGCAAATCGAAGCTTCGCGGAAGATTCGTGATTTGGCACGCCGGAGTAATCTGTCGGAGGCTCTTAAGGTTATGGCCAAACTGCAGAAAGAAGGGGTTCAGCCGGACACCATAGCCGTGTCGTCGCTAATCGCAGTGTGCGTGAAGACTGGCAACATGTCAAGAGCGCAGAGCATTTTCGATACCGCGTTCAGTAGGAAGAGAGGAGGGAAGAAGGATGCCGAGGAGGGGGAGGAGGAAAAGGTGGTGGAAGAGGAGGAGGAGAAGGAGGAGGTGGGGGTGTTGAGGCCTGATGCTGTGGTGTTTGGCATATTGGTAAGGGGTTATGGTGCAAGCAAAACCCCGCAGTGGGGCAAGATCTCGCAATTACTTGCTTCGATGGAAAGGGACTATGCATTGAAACCCTCTACGTCAGTGATTAATGAATTGCTGCAAATCTGTGCCCAACAGAACGACACGGAGCGTGGGATAGAGCTGATTGACAAAATGAGAAAGGCAGATTTGATACCGGATTATCTCACATGGGAGGCTGTGAAGAAGCGCAAGCTTCTACGGAGTCACTTTCGCAAAGTTTTTGGTGGTTTGTTGTGATGGCGATGGTGATGATGATTATGACGTGCTGCTTTGTTCTTCCTCTCTGTAGTCTCTCCTCTCTCTGTGTCCTTTCCTTTCTGTTCCTCTACTGTCTCTACTCCCTCTTCTGGGCTGCGCTGCATTCCTGCCCCCCTTCCCTCCCCCCTCCCTGCTCCCCTTTCTCTCCCACTCAGCCCGACTCCTTGATGCCAAGTTGCCTTTCTTGCCCCACGTATACGCCCGGCTTCGTTGGCATCCCACCACGGCCTTTTGATGTCTTGGCCGGAAGGGCAGAAGAGAAAGGAAGAGTTTCCTTCTTCTGGTCCTTTCTTGCCGCTCGTTCGTAAAGGGGCAAAAAACCCAACCAAGGCATTGTCTTCCTGCTCCTTCCTCTTCCACGCTACCTACCCCTTTCCCTGTCTGTCTCTCTCCCCCCGTCCACCTCCAGAGTTCTGTTTTTAATTTGTACATAACATCGTCCTCTCTTTTAATTTGTACATAACATAGTCCTCTCTTTTAGTTTATACGTAACATTATCCTCTCCCTCGCCTGCATTCTGCTGCGCGTGAAATTTGAGGGTCGAACTAATCAATGCAATGTTTCATCGTGCGGCCTTTTGTTTCCCTTCAAAGAATGTATCCTGGTAGCTAGCTTCCGCCCCCTTGTTGTCTCTGTTTCTTTTGAATACACAGTGTGGGTATTGTTGTCTTTTTTTTTTTGTTGTTGTCGTCTTTGTTTTTGTCTTCTTGAAATTTCTGATGTCCTGCTTATTGGGGGGAGCTGCACCTCCAAGGCAGAAAGAGAAAACGACTGTTTAGCTTGTCCGAACAATTGTTTATTGTTTATTTCGAGCTTGTCGAGCTTGTCTGAACTATTGTTTATTGTTTATTGTTATTGTTTATTGTTTATTGTTATTGTTTATTGTTTATTGTTAATTGTCGAGATTGTCTGACTTGTGTCAAGCTTGTCCGAACTATTGTTTATTGTGAACTAATGCTCAGTCGAGCTGTGCAGTCGGTCATCTCTGGATGTCGAGAAAACGACTTATGTCAAGACTCAACAACACCCTGCCGTGTGGGGTTGCCTGCCGTGCGATACATTGTCTGACATTGTCTCCTTGTGAGTGTGTGGCTTTTGGATGTTGGTGTTTTGGATGCCAGGTGTCAGTGCAGCTTCAACTGGGTGATCGATTAAGTTGCAACAAAAGCTCTGGCCGCCGTGTGATCTCCTGTTGTCGAGTCTTTCCCTCTGTAGGGGTTGTTATTGGTGCTTTGGTCTTGCTTGATGCCTGGACTACAAGAGGAGGAGATGGGTATGACAATGACAGAGAAGGAAGAGGCAAAGCRGCGGAAGAAAATGAAGGCTCTTTCAGAGGATAGAGATGCTGATGGGTCTGGCAGTGGTGATGAGAAGAGGAAGAAGAAGAGGAAGAAGAGAGATGACGATGGCGCTACTGCAAATGGGTATTCAAACAAATACAGGAGGGAGGAGGCTGAGGGGGACAGCAGTGGAAAAGTGAAAAGCCGGAGACGCGATGATGATGTTATTGAGGAGGAGGGACGGAGGAACAAGAAGCCTGTTGATGAGAGCGAACCGTTTGGCAGTGAGGGAAGATGGAAGCCGGAGGAGGATGTAATGCTGAACGGCAGGAGAAGACATTACGAGGATGGTAGTCTTGAGGAGGGAGAGGCTGGTATCAAAAGGTGGGGTGATCCGGAACCCTCAGACGAAGGGGAGGAGGAGGAGGAGGAGGAGGAGAGCGACCCGTTGGACATCAAGAATTTCCGGCTGTCGAAGCCTGTGAGGGATGCCTTGGAGAAGAAGGGCATCAAGGCCTTGTTCCCCATTCAGGCGCAGACTTTTGATTACTGTCTAGATGGGTTCGATGTGGTAGGACGAGCTAAAACAGGGCAGGGGAAAACACTTGCGTTTGTTCTCCCCATCATCGAAAGCCTGTCCCGACCCGGTGCTAATGTCTTCCCTGGACGGAAGCTACCCAGTGTCTTAGTTCTGGCTCCGACGAGGGAGCTGGCAAAACAAGTCCATGCAGATTTTGAGATGTTTGCAAGGACGATGGGTCTGTCGACAGTGTGTGTTTACGGAGGTGCGAGCTTCACTCCTCAATGTGATGCGATGAGGAGAGGTGTGGACATCGTTGTAGGTACCCCTGGGCGAATCAAGGATCACCTGAATCGTGGGGTGCTGAATCTGACAAGGCTGAAGTTCCGAGTGCTGGACGAAGCCGATGAAATGCTGAACATGGGATTTGTAGAGGATGTGGAACTGATTCTGGGCGCTGTWGGGGACGCGCAGAATGTGCAGACTCTGCTCTTCAGTGCAACGATGCCTAAGTGGGTGCAACAGATWKCAGCTCGTTTTYTGAAACCGGAGCGGAAAATGGTYGACCTGGTGGAAAACCAAGTGTTGAAAGCGAGCAACACTGTCCGCCATCTTTTGCTAGCGTGCAATGCGGCACAGGTGGAGGGCGTCATTGGGGATGTAATCCAATGTTACAGCAAGGGAGAGGGAAGGACAATCGTCTTCACGGAGACCAAGAACGCTGCAACTGAGCTCGTTTCGCGGCTGCGGAACGTGTCTGCAAAGGCACTTCATGGGGACATCGTCCAGGCACAGAGAGAAGTGACTCTGGCAGGTTTCCGCTCTGGAAAGTTCAAAGTGCTTGTAGCCACTGATGTGGCAGCCAGGGGCTTGGACATCGCCAATGTCGAGCTGGTGATTCAGTTAGAGCCGCCAAGGGATGTCGAGAGCTACATCCATCGTTCGGGGCGTACTGGCAGGGCAGGGAAGACGGGCATATCTCTGCTGATATGTCAACCTGGAAGGAGAAGCCGTGTTGCCATGATTGAGAGGGCTGCTGGAGTGAGATTTGAGAGGATAACACCCCCGTCTTCTGCAGATCTTGCCCAGGTGTCTACAGCAGGAGCTGTTGAAGCGATCAAAGCTGTTCCCGAGCGTGCGGTGTCCTACTTCAAGGAAGCCGCTGAGTCTTTGATTAAAGAGGATGGAGCTGTGGAGTCTCTTGCGAAGGCGCTGGCCAAGATTGCTGGTCATCGCGCAGCATTATCACGGTCTGTGTTGACGTTCCTGCAAGATGGTGTGACACTCCATTTCCATTCTGAAACTGAGATATATTCGCCCGGTTATGTGTGGACCTGCTTACGGAGGGTTCTCAGCGAGGACGTCGTGAATGAGGTTAAGGGATTGACATTGACGATGGACCGAAAAGGGGCTGTGTTTGATGTGCCAACAAAATTTGCCGAACAGTTCACGTCCTTTACGGACAGTCGTGGGGGCGTATGGGTTGAGGTCACAGATTCGCTTCCGGAGCTACAAATGGACAGGGAAACAACTGGACGAGGTGGGCGAGGTGGTGGGATGAGGTTTGGGGGTGGTGGAGGGGGAGGCTATGGGCGGCCTGGCGGCAGGGGTGGAGGAAGAGGTTTTGGCAGCAGCGGTGGCAGACGATCGTCAGGGTCAGGAGGCCGGTATTATGGAGGCTCGAGGAGGTGATCATTCGTCATATATGTTATTTGCTGCCTGGTGCAACTTGGCTTTGAGCGGGGACGGGAGGGTGGGGTGGGGGGTGTGGAGGTTGAGCTCACCGATGGCTCGTCTTGCGATTAGCATCCTGTTATGTCATGTCTCCCTGCATTGTTGCTGTTATACTGTGCTCATTTTAGAGCCTTCGTTCTCTGCCACCACTGAGGGTGTTCTCGTATTGTTGCTGTGAACCCTTCTCCCCTCTCTGAGAAAGGTAGCTTTCTTCTGCATCAGTGGGTGGAAATGGTAGGGTGAGCACTTAGTTCAATCTTTCCTCTTTAGGTTTTGGGTTGCTGTCCAGATTTTATCATCTCCTTCAACACGAGACGGGCTTGATTGTACCCCTCGTTGGGGAATGTTGCTGGGACCGCATCAGACCTATCAACGCATTTCCTAAGTTTCTTGTCGTACCTTCGCCGGCTCTCAAGAACAGACTTTCTCTTGCAGTTGCAGGCGGAGAGAGTGAGGATTGTTTCAACTTTTATTATTTGCTACAGCTTTTTGTCATTTCCTCTGAAGAACAGAAGTGCAGTTTCCGCATCGTACGTGTCCCCCCCCCAAACCCCAGCCCCTTTATGGGTTTAGGTTCATTTTTGTACACCTCTGCCTAACACTCTCCATGCTTTTTAGGTGCGTTAAGCCTTGCCTGATCTTGATTTTTGGCTGCAGCGTAAGTCAATGTTAGGTCTTTGGCACATGGCATGATATGCCTCCATTTTTTTTTATTGTTAGTGGAGTGAGGCCCTAGCAGTCTGGACCCAGTGAGAAACGGGTTGGAATGCAGGCAGTGGTGGCTGCTGCAGTATGTCTCCTTGATGAACAGAAGATATCTCTCTGGAGGATGGAGTGATCGACTGTTCTTCCTCTAGGCAAAATGCGTGAGCAGTCCTGCCTCTGGCTGTGAAGCGTCACAGGGCGGCGATAATTTCTTACCGGTGCATAGGGGGGAAGTTTAGTGGAGTGTTTGATTTGTCTTTTGTAGCTTCACTCCAATGAGCAAGTCAGGATGCCTGTTGGGGTGGATCTGTCCGCCAAATGACGCTAGAGAACAAGGGAGCGGCAATGGAAGAGGAGGGTTTTGTTTTTCGGAATTCCTTCCTCTCTTTAGCATGAGGGTGAGAGAGGGATGGTTGTGCCAAATGCACTGCAGGGTGGTGCATTTGTTTGGCTGGTCTTCGCCCCGCTTGCTGGTAGAAAAGGAAACCCAGTGTCCATTATCATTCATTTGGTGAGCGACATCTGATGAATGGCGGGCAATGTCCAGTCTGAAATAGGGTAGCAAGCCGGGTTCGTAGATCTGTCCGATGAGGAGGAAACGTAAGGGACATATTACAGTGTGTTGATGTGGACGGAGGGAGGACTGTTAAGCTTTCTACATAGCTTGTTTGGAAGTTGAGAGTCAAGTGTTCTGTCTTCCCAAAAAGTTGATTGGGTTGGTTAGTTGTTGGCTAATCAATGGTTTGCTGCTGTTGCTGTAAGAGCAGAGTTTGGTTGAATTGGGGGGGGGGGGGGGGGAAGTCCCTGATGTGCAAGAGGACAAACCTAGCTCAGCTCAGAATGCATCTGGGCATCAGAACCAGTGATCAGGTATGTATGTTCTGACTACTGGTAGGCTAGCTTTTGCATTTCCAAGCCGGACCCAGGTATGTATGTTCGTGCTGCCTTAAAGAGACTACGTGGATGATGGATATGCTGCCTTGTGCGTGGCTGCTGATATCAGGATCTGAACGAAAGCCCGGGGAGAGGTGGGCGAGTCATGAGGTTGAAACCCGATAAACCGAAGTAGAAACTAGTCAGGCTGGCAAGGTGATAGATTTGCACACAAACACGGAATGTCTAATCTAACGTCACATCAATCAGCCTGGCGACAATTTGTATTTGTTATAATGTTGGACGCTATTCCCTTTTCTTCCACCTTTGGGTTCTTTCACATCGTCTCTAAGTATCTTAGACAGACAGACATGTTGGTTTCTTGTGAATTATGGCCATTTCATCGCGGTAAAGAAGCTGAGCACTGATGGAAGCTTCTAAAGGAAGGAAAACCCTAATGTAGTAAAATGTACTCATTTTCTCGTGATTTTGAGGCTATTAGCCCACCAACTAACATCCGAACAAGTCTTATTAAGAAAAATGTACCGTTGTGGCACCCCCACGGCTTCCTTGGCTCAGTTTGATTACTTTCTCCGGACCGGGTACAGCAGGTTTGTAGACTGGCAGGCTGTCATGCAGGATTTTTGAACAAGTTATTCTCACTGAAGAACGGAAGGGGGAAAGGAAATGGATGAGTTTGTGGTATAGCCTTCGTCACTATCAGAAGTGAGAATGCTGAAATGAGTAACAAAAAATCAGGTGGAAAACATGATCGCCGAAAGTTCAAGGGTTTCTGCGTTCAGTCAATCTACGCCGAGTGAATCGGTCCCTAAGGAAACCCCGGAAGGTGGCACCGATGGGTTCTAGAAAGTGACGAAATTTGAATTAAGCTAGCGCTACTGAACAAAACAAAATTGGATGATTGGACAGGGCCTCAATTTCCGGGAAAAAAACTCTCAGCAAGGTCGTTCAGTAGAAGAAGAGTATATTCCTTCCTGCCGGCGGGGACACGGCTTAGAGTGAGGTGTTTGGTTTTGTTGTGTGCACCTGACCCTGTCTAAGGGTTGGTCTCAAGCTTCTGGAAGTCCCTAAGTAGTTCTTGAGAGGCCTCGAGTCCGACCTAGATGAATGAGATGCTTGCAAGTTGTGTAAGTTTTTCTTTTCAACAGAACTCGACTCACAAGGCACGGGAGACACATGCAAGAAAAGGAGACCACAATGTTGGAAGTCCTTTGGGACATCCGTTAAAATTGGAACGATACAGAGAAGATTAGCATGGCCCCTGCGCAAGGCTGACAAGCATAAATCGAGAGATGGTCCAAATTAACAAACGAAAAAAAAAAAAAAAAAAAAAAAAAAAGAGACCAGAAGCCACACTCTGCAAGACCATGACCAATAACGTGAGACGGACTACCGTCTTCCCCGGAACATTACGCACCCTAAAGATGAATGTATACAAGCTATATTTCCGGCCAGATACTGCCAAAATAAGGGTGTGTTGTGTTCGGGGGAAGACGGACTAGCAGTACACAAGAGATGCAGGGAGCAGCCAGTCGAGGGATCCGGTCACTGGGGAATTATAGTCACGAGTTCATGAACTTGTTTATTTCCTTAAACCTTGACCGAATTACGAAAACACCTTTTGGAACAGCAAAAGGAAAATCTAGAGATGCCTTGATCCAAGGAAGAGGTGTGGTCGGCACTTGTGCAAATGAAAGAGGAAAAGACCCCACGAATAGATGGACTCCCTAAGGAATTCTGGGAGACCTTGTGCACGGGACCTGATGGACTACTATCACGCAGTATGGGTCATGGGTCAGATGGGAGAGCTGGCGGGACAAGGTGTCTTCACCCTACTTTATAAGAAAGGGGATCAAATGAACATAAGAAACTACAGGCCAATCACCCTGTTAACTGTGTTTTATAAATTGGTGGCAAAGGCATTGGCAAACGGCCTGGGGGAGGTAACAGCGCAGACAGGTTTCGTTAGAGGGTGAAAAATCCAGGACAACATTCTGTTGGTTAATGAGGTCATCAAATTATCAAGACAATCTAAACACAACGCTGCCATTATCTTTGTAGACTTTGAAAAGGCATATGACCATGTTGACTGAACTTTTCTGGACAAATGCCTCGAGAGGATGAGTTTTGGCCGGACCTTTAGAAGGTGGGTCGAAATCTTGCATCGAAATGCCACAATGACTGTTCGAGTGAAAGGTAGATTGGACCTTGCTATACACCTAGAACGGTCGGCGAGGCAAGGAAACTCTATCGCTCCTTTTCTCTTCGTCATTATTACAGAGGCCCTAGCAGGAAACTTAAGGGTCCACAAGGACCTTCAAAAGATAAGGCTCTCCTCCATCCCAGAGGACACCACCCCTTCGTTCCTTTTTTGCAGACGATCCTACCATAATGATAGATGCGTCACATGGAAACATGGTGGAAATCCAAAAGCTGATGGACCGTTTTTGGTCCCTCTCGAATATGACAGTTAATGGGGGTAACAAGACACAAAGGTGGTGGATACACTACCAGGGAGGGAGACCACCAGACACCCTCAACCCTGATTAGAATCCTGGGGGTCCAGATGACAGCAGAGGGGAAACCGCCTTTGAATGATGAATGGCTCACGCAACCAGTCCTGGGAAACTGGCCCAGCGGAAAGGCAGACAAACTTCCTTAATGGGTCGGTCCCGACACCCTAGATTAACAATGCAATTTTGGCTTCCCTCTGGTATAAAACAGCAATCTGGGCTCTCAGTAAACCTGCCGTAACTTCCCTCCAGAGGCGGGTGGCAACTTTCTTATGGAGGGGGAATCATGAGTGCCCTAAGGCCATCAGTAGAGTGGTCTGGCAGTCGGTTGTACAACCGAAAACTAGAGGGGGGCTAAAGATAATTGACCCAACCACTCAAGTGATGACCTTGACCCTTCAGTGGGTGAAAGGTTTTCTCTTTTTCACACAAGCGCCATGGCAACCGTTGGCCTTGCAGCTGATTGCTAGGCTAGCGCCACCTGCGCCCCCTGAGGTAGAACCGACGACGTGGCTTGAGGATAGATACAGACTACATCGCAGAAATTGACCCGGACCAATGTGGAGGGAGGGTCAGACAGACAGGCGGTCAGGCAAGACTTGAAAAAAGACCCTCTTTAGGCCGCGATACTGAGGACATGGCGTAAGTTACCCCTACCCAACAAAGTCCAACCAATGCGATGGGAAGAAGTGGCCCGACAACCGCTGTTCGGAAACCGATGGGTAACAGGCCCCCAAAGTAGGGCATTCCATAGCCTTGAAAATCCTTTGAAGGATTGGGTTAAGAATAATGTGCTTCGAGTCAATGATATTTAGGACCAGGAAACCAAAGACTGGCTGTTGGAGACTCGACTAAAGAAGAAACAGAAGTACTGCCATGAAGTGGGAGGAGAAGCGTTGGAGACCATTATCTTAGTTATCCCTCTCGATTGGGTCCGAATCTTGAGGAAAGGGCCGGTGGTGATAGAGGGAGATTGGGTGGGGTTCTGGGGTATCGAGGGGTTGGTTGGAAGCGTATTGTATACCCGCCAGGCAGACATGGGGGAGGAACAGGAATTTATCGCCGACTCGCCTACACTTATAGAAATCGCTATTCACGGTAAGATCGTGCGGCGATCCAGACCGTCCGCTTTGTCGGACGGCCTGAATCGTTGCGCGATCTTAAAGTCTTAAACCACCAGTACTTGGGCACTGCGCGCCGCGCCGGCCACCCAAATCTCGAAGCAGCGCGGGCTGTCGCTGTCGATTCGACGGCCCGCCGGCCGCGAAAATCGCGTAGCGTTGGTGGTTTAAGATTGAGTGGAAATCCGGGTCGTCGGGCCAGTAGGACCGCGGGCGGCCCGGATCGGCGCGCCCGTTGGAAATAGGGCCCGTTGCAGGGCGGCTCCTCTCCACCTCCGCCAACCTCTTCTCCGCCCGGTGCCCACCTCGCCTCGACCTCCGCCCACCTCCCTTCCACCTCCCCTTGTCATCTCCCCTCCGCCTTCACCCACCTCCCCTCCGCCACCGCCCACCATCTCCTCCCTGCCTCCACCCACCTCTTCTCCGCTCGGGGGCCACCTCGCCTCCGCCTCCGCCCG